GGAGAAAGGACCTTGGAGAATGATTCGACGCGAAGGACACGTCCATCGACGTCGAGGCTCAGGTAGGATGGCACAAGGGATTTGAGGAAGTCATCGTGGGTCGCTGGTGGCGGGACGGGCTCGCTGTCAGCACCAGCGTAGGGCTGCATCTGCAAGAAGTAGTACGGCTCGTCCTCCACGATGTACACGTCGTGCTTCTGGGCGACCTTGTACACGGCCTTACGCCTCTCTGCGGACTGAGTGGCACCCGTTGGGTTCTGACCAGTGGGAATGGTGTACAGCACGTAAGGCTTGGGGCCACCCCGGGCGGCTTCGTCCCAGTTGCTCAGAACCTCATCAAGGGACTCAGGCAAAAGACCCTCGCCGTCCATTCTGATCGGCGCCACCTTCAGCCCGAGCGGAAGTGCAGTCTCCTGGGCACTCGCAAAAGTGTACTCTTCCATCAAGATGTAGTCACCGCGGTTGCAAAGCATGCGGAGGATTGTGTCCCACGCATACGTGCTACCTGCGGTCAAGCAGCACTGCCAATCGGCATAAGGAGGGTTGTGAATGAGCTAGCAGCGATCAGTCCATGTCATAGCTGAAGAATCTTGGTTGTATTGCCTCCACGTACTTCAGTGTGTTCCGTCACGAACCTAAGCAACTGGGGAGTTCCCGAAGCCTGGCCATAGTTAAGGGCAACCTCCAAGTCTGACCATGTGTTCACTTAGTATGCAACTTGAAGCCCGAATCTGGAAGCAACTAACCGTAAAGACTCTTTCCGTTGCGCACGTCACCCTTACTCGCGGTCAGAAGAGAACCGGAATTCTGGATAGCCTCCGGGGTGAAATCAGGGGCGTTGGGGACCTTGACGGAGAGCTGTTCAATGGGGAAGTATTCCGGAGAGGGGAGGCCGCCACCCAAAGAGATCAATCCGGGGTTCTTCAGGTACCGCGCAGCACCCTTCAAAGTTGAACTCTAACAAAAGCTTCAGTATCCATGTATACCGTAACCGAAGTGTATAAGCGGACGAACCTTCCGGGACTTGGATTCGATGGAGAAAATATCTTGCGGGGAATTAGTGATTGGCAGAGAGGGAGACAATCGAACAACTTACGATCCCAGCGTTTCGATTGAGGCTTGGTGTAGCAGTGCTAGACGAAAGAATAGAAGGTCAGTTGATCTTTCGCCACAGAACATCGTCCGTTTGTAGAGGCGAGAATTTGAACATACCGGGCTCTTGAACATGTCACTGTTCACAGCAGGAGCAACACCGGTGGGAATCTTTGCGCTCTTAGCTCTCAGGGCAGGGATGGCATCGACCGTCAATGGGCCGGATGCGGCAACCGAGCCCACGTTGTTTGAGTCATTGTCCACGGCGACGGGAGGGCTCATTCTTGAGACAGGGGTACGATTGAACGTAGCGAACTTGATGAATATGGAAGGCAAGTGAGTGTATTACACACAGTCCACACAAAAGTCAGTGTAGCAAGGTAGAGGACTGAGGGAGAAATTCACAATGCAGGCGAACTGATGGCGAAAGTGAAAGGGGAATCGAGTCACGCAGGGGCGTCCGCTTTTTTCTCCGCTTAAAGTGGGCGGACCGGTTCCGCCGGTAATGCATCATTGGGTCGATGGGGACAGGATTCTTCCACGAGGCACGCAAAGGGCGCGCGCCATTGCTGATGGAAAGGAAGGCAGAAGCAATCAGATGCCGTGGAGGAGCTTCACCGCGTTTTCGTTATCTAATTCCACTGTGAGATGCCGCGAGTTGATGCGATGTGACGCTGTCGTTCACAGGGCGCGGCGGGCGGCGATAACGTAATTGGTATTCCCGATACATTCTCCGTATGGTTGGACCAGCAGCAGTACTAAAGGCACTTCAATCTAACTGCATCTCAACCAAAGAGCCATGGGTGAGTACCAGCTAGCCTCGTGGTGCATTGGTTCACCGTTGTTGCGGTACGATGTGGCCTGGTGAAAATGAGGGGAAAGCTCGAAGTGAAGCAAGGACCAGCAATTGCAGCAGCAAGACGAGCAAGAATGCATAGAAATCAAATTACCGCTCGGGTGACGACCCCGCGCCTAGATAAGGCTATCGCCGGCATCGGACTTGCTTATCAACCCGATAAGATCTCAGAGTCATCCCCAAATAGGCAATGGAAACGAACTATCACGGCTTCTACTACTGCTTGCCGACGAGTCATTGACTGACCTGTGTTCACCTCTGAAATAACGAGATGAAGCCAATCATCATTGGGTATGACAACCATGTCTGGTAGGGTTCAAAGGGGGATATTCACGTGGTAAGACTGCATTTACTGGGTTTACCCCTCTTTCAAATGGTTTTGGCAGGAGAAAAGCATGAGTCTGTGCTCACCACCAATGAAGAAATACAGGGTCGCACTATGATCCTGCCGATGTTCCGTCTATGATGAATTTCACTTGAGCTTGAACAGGAGTCCCTCAAATGTACCCGGCACACGACCTAGTATAGCTCTTTCTCTCCACTAAATCTCTTGGGCTACAGATGCTCTCGAATCACACAATAACGTGGCTCTGTCTTCCTCTACCAATTTAATAAGCTTCCCAGTTGGGTCGAGGCGAGCACTGTCATCATAATTCTCATACTCCTCTCGATATGTAAAATCTTATAGGGGACGAGTCCTGGAGCTGGCTCAAGCTGGCTCAATGTAACTCTCATAGCTTCCTCAATGAGAATCTTCAGATCAGACAACAGAGCATATTACAATAGTCACTACAGCTCTACCTGGAAAGAGCGGTTTAGCTCTTCAATCTGACGTCTTCCGGGCTATTGCCCTTCTAGTTTTGACGACTGAAGATACTCAAGTCTCGTTTATGGTTCCCCGTTGGAGACAACGTGAGTTACTATCCCTTGGCCAATTCAAACACAGAGAAAGGTGTATTATTATCCGTCACGCTGAGATCATCCAAGGTCCCCTGCCGACTTCCCTTCCTGAAGCCATCACAAGCCCCTTCCAATCAGCCGAGTCCACCCGAGTGAGGCCACAGCTGCGACATCCAAGTCTAGATCAGCGTCTCACTCGCGATGAAAGTCGGATGAAATAACTATGACAGGAAGCCCCCTCATGACATTTGCTGTACATAACTTTCAACTGAGACCAACTTCAAACAGCATCCAATGTTATAGGCGTTGAGGCTTTGGAACAGTTACCCGAAAGTCAAATTGGCATCTGGAATCAATACTCCTCTGATACCCCTCTCCACCACCGCAGCTCGAGCTGAAAACAGACCATCTCGACCCCAATGCTACGGAGGGGAATGTCTGCGGGGATCCTTTGGTCACCAAACATCATGGGGTAATTACCATGTGTTAAGTCGTGTCGCGGCTATATAATCCCCTCAAACACTCAGCCAGTTGAACAGAGGATCGTCCCAATCAACGAGCATCATCTACTCTATACTTAAATATCTCAAACTTTTCTTACTTTAACACATACCTTTTCTTCGCATCTCACTAGAAAGCTTGAACAAGTTACCAATCCTAATAATTCAACATGCGTGGAAAGATCGCTCTCGAAGAAGCCTTTGAGGTCAAGGGCATGGATGAGGAGATTGATGCCCAGGCAGCCCTCTATATCGCCCCCAAAGATGTTGAACGCTACAAGCGCCAGATTGTGTCCATCACAGACGAACGCTTGCAACTGTCCGACCAGAACGGCATTGGCTATAGCATCCTCTCCCTGACTGTCCCGGGTGTCCAGGGCATCACTGACAAGGACAAGGCTGAGAAACGTGCTCGCGATGTAAACAATTACATTCATGACCAGATCAAGGGCCACCGTGATAGACTGGGAGCATTTGCAGCCCTGTCAATGCATGATCCCAGACAGGCGGGACATGAGCTTCGCCGCTGCGTGAAGGAGCTGGGCTTCCACGGAGCCTTGCTGAATGATATTCAGCATACTGGGGAGGGAGACGATGACCAGCCGCTGTTCTACGATCAGCCCGACTACGACGAGTTCTGGAGAGTGGCTGTGGAGTTGGACGTCCCGGTCTATCTTCATCCCGCCGCACCCTTGCGGGATACCCTAATTTACAAACAATCCTACAAGGACCGCAAGTATCTCGTCGGACCACCCCAGAGCTACTGCAATGGAGTTGCACTGCACCTGATGGGAATCATTGTCAATGGCGTGTTCGATAGGTTTCCCAACCTGAAGGTCATTGTTGGACACATGGGGGAGCGCATTCCATTCGACTTCTGGCGGATGGATCACTGGGTCAAGGGCGTGACACGGCCGCTGGCAGAGAAGAATGGAGATACTGTTTGCCAGAAAGAGCCACTCTACTACTTCAAGCGCAACATCTACATCACCACCAGTGGACATTTCAGCACCCAGAACCTGCGCTACCTGTACGAGTGGCTGGGCGATGAGCGAATGATGTTCAGCGTTGACTTCCCCTATGAGCGAATGGAGCATGGTTGCCAGTGGTACGATGATGACGCGGAGAAGATCAAGGAGGCGCTGGGTGGCCGCGACGGATATCTTCGTGTTGGCAGGGACAACGCAAGAAGGTTGTTCAAGCTCACCAAGTTCAAGGATTGCGATGCTGTTTAGGTAATGCGACTGGGAGACAATCAGTATTGAAAGGCGTTCATGTTCTTACAGGGGATTTTACCGTGAACTGAAACCGGTTGGAAACACAAAAATGGTATCGTAATGCATGCGTTCTTGCTAACTGAAATTGTTACACAATTTGGTATGATATGTTTAATGAGGCGAATCTACTTGCTTTTGCTTTTGTATTGGGCGAACATCGACACCGTAAGAGCTGCCTATGTAACTGCTTCTGGGTACTCATTTCAGCTGGAGAGTTTTATACTCGGGGTAAGAGTCCACCTAAACACACTTTTGACTGACATGTATAAATGTTGTACTGTTGGAGGGAAGACTGGGATGCTGCACTATAGGAAGCGAGCCAGTAGAGGAGAGAGAATACCATGTCATCACCAAATGATGCTGAGAAGGTCCACTTTCCGTAAGGTAATTGGCAATTGTATTGTTCTGTTGATGCCTGTCTTATTTAGTAGCAACTACCTCAGCCTTCCATATCTCCTCTACACCGTAGCTACACTATGACAGACACTTAGGGAGGCTGAGACCACAACCAATGAACCTGAACAAGGTTCCCTTTTCTCACCATCTCTAGATCACGGACAATGCACAGGAGTAACAACCTTTTTCTGCGCGTCCTCAACAGTCGCAAGCAGATGTGAAATCTTCGGAGGATACACAGGGCTTGGAGCGACAACATAACTCTTCTCACTCAGCGCTTTAGGAAGAAACTCCTTGAAGATCTTGTGACATATCTCGGGGTCCTTGACCACATTTGCATCCGGCACGTGGGAAGCAGATGCGGGTGCTACTGGACGGTTTCCAACGACAGCTTTGCAGATTGCGGTGCTAATATCCGTTTCTTCGGTATCGATTGCACCCAGGAGGTTTGTCTGTTCTGGTTTCTTTAGTATCTCTAAGAGTTCCTCCTTGGCTCTTGTGCTGTACTTGTCAATTACTTGATTGGCCCCGAGACCTCGTACGTAGTCGAATTCCTTGCCTGGTGCTGTCGCTACGACGGTACAGCCTGCTGCAGCTGCTAGCTGGATGGCGTTGCATCCGGGGCTGGTGGTGCCGCCCCATACTAGGACTGTTCCGGTTCCTTTCTTACGTCTGCTGTTGCTGCCTGCGGTTAGGCAGGCTATTGGGACGTTTAGACCTCGAAACAAGGCTTTTGCTGCGGTTGTTATCCCTAGTGGGAGGGCGGCAGCATCATGGAATGAGAGGCTCGGCGGGATAACCGCTACCAGGCTGGCGGGCACGACTGTGTAATTTCGGAATCCCTTGTGTCGGTCCTTTTCAGTAAATGGGTAGACAGCCAACGCGAGAACACGGTCACCCTCTTGCAGGCCCTGTGTCTGCTTTCCATTACCGAGTTTGCGCACGGTGCCGGCGAGGTCGTAGATCGATTGGTTTCTGAGTGTGTTGTCGGAATCGGACTCAAAGTCGATGTCGCTGGTGCCATCTCCAATTGAAATAGTCTCACTCAAACTAGTCTCGTTCGAATTGGACTCCTTCGTACCATACTGGTGTAGTGATACTGCTGCATTTTCGATGATGACTTCATCAGCCTCCCGAGATAGCTGCACTTCTTCTACTCTATAGAAGTCGGGTCCTTCCGATGATTTCTCTGGCCTAAAGAATTCATCATGGTAGGGAATTGTACGTTTCACCCGGCCCTGAGAAGCTGCATCATCTCCGTATCGGCGAAGAAGCTCACTGAGTTGATATATAGCCTGCATAACTGGCATACCGGCCCCTCCGTTGTACTCTTTGCGCACTCTTTCCTCACACAAGCGCGCTATTTGGCTGACGATTTCCCGAGTCTCGGGGCACGTGGGACCACAAATTCTTTCGATGCCTGAAATAGGCTTACGGAATAATCTGCTAGCGGTATCGCGAAGCTCTTGACTGTCATCTTGCGAGCTAAGCTGATCATTTTGCACGATTGCCAGATATAAGTCTGTAACATGGACGTCTAGATGGTCCTCGAGTCTGGTACCTTCCAGTTGCATCCGCGCCTTTTTGAGCTGCCTCTCTGCTGATTCCGTATTACCTGTCATCAGATAGAATATCCCCAGATCACGTTCTGTGCATGCATGCAGGTAGATACTGGATGTTTCAACATTGGTTGGGGGTGGCGATTCAACCAGTTGTTCCAACGAATCGATTGCCTTCCCTAGCTCTCCCTGTCTCTCATACAAGCGACCGCTAGCAAGGCGGGCTTGACGGACTAGCCAATGACCCGAAGGGAGATGGCCTGCACATTCTTGCGCAAATCTTTCTAGATCTTGGGGTGTTTTTCGTTTCCCTTGGAGGATATGAATTCGCGCTAAATCAAATTTCGCCCGCAAAAACAATAGGTGTTGGCGGCCAGCAAGAATCTTCTCCAAACCAAGGATAACTTCTTTTAAGACCTCCTCCGCTTCTGCAATCTCTCCTTGAGCAAAGAGTGTTGCAGCGAGGTTCTGTGCCGTTATGAGAGTTGCAGCATGCCCATTGCCCAACTCTCTTTCCAAGTCCCTCAAAGTCCTGCTGTATAGAGTCTTTAGCCGTCGGTCCTCGGCGTCTTTGTGAGAACATAGAGCACCTAAACGGGTGAGTGCATCGTGCGAGAACACATAAACATTGGCCGGAACATCTAGAGATGGATCGATTACTTTCAGCGCCTCCAGATAGCAAGAAGTTGCCTCAACCATCGCTCCTCTTTGAGAATGCAGGAGGCTGAGCTCGCCAAGGGCCTGCAACCGGAGACGTCGCTTTCCCATATCATAGCCTGCTCCAGTTGGAGATGATGTGCACCCTGAGTAGGCACATTGTCCTTCTTTCAGTAGCCCCGTCTTCCAACAGGTCCTCCCCAACTCGCACATAGCTTCGACGGCAGCAGTATCATTATTCTGGGCAGCACCACCCGAGGGCAACTTGTCATACGCCAGCTTGCACGTCTGCTTAGCTTCGTCTGGCCGATTATTGGAGAGATAAGCAGAAGCTAGAAGGCTAAGCTCCTTGAAATCCAATTTATCCTTCATTTCTTCGGTAATGACCACACCATGGGTAAGAAACAGTTGCAGTATCTGCGGCGCTTTAGGGGTCTTGAGCGCTTTAAAGACCAGTTCCTCTTCCAGTGCTTCATCGTCCGGTAGGTTATCGTGCACTACTTCCTCATTCTCCTGCTGCGGTGAAGCGTCAGACCCTCTTCCGGGTTGGGTAAACTGCGGGTCACCGTCGTCTTGTTCTTGGCCAGGATCCTCGCTGGCGGCCTGCTTGTCTGGGCTCTTCTCTCGCAATTTTACTTGAGTTGCCTTATCAATCCATGGCTCCATGGCAACACGGGCACAGCAGACATGTTTGTCCTTATCAGCACCTATCCGCACGGTGGCATCACAAGAGAACACCAGATTCTGGTGCTCTTGGATGCCGCCATCATTTCCATACTCATCGGTATCCTCAACAATGCGTGCCGCTCCAACATAGCGGCAGTCCAAGAAGCGATCGCGGTGTTCTTTATCTGTTGAGACAGTCATCACAAGAACTGCAGGGCCCCGGTCCTCCTTCCTCTCTCGGAGAATAAGGCAATCTTTCCAATGCAGGAGGGCACTATAAAAAGGCACAGCTACCGAAACATGGTCTCCATGTGGCTCAATTCGATTGTTCTGGACCTGGTGCTCCGTCAGAGTCTGACAATGCCAGCGACCGACGACTGCACCGTCATCCTGAATCTGCAACATGCGCTTGCGACGAAGCTCAGGGATATCATTGTCTATTCGTGCTGTAATTGGCATCTCGTCCAGTGTGGCAGGAGACCAGGAAAATGGGCCTTTCTCGCACATGGTCGGCCGGCCATGGAGGAGACTCTCATGAGGGACAAAACCCAGGTAGAACAGAATAGATTTGGTAATCTCGCTTTCAGACTGCGAATAATTGCACTGGGGCATACCCGTCAGTAGCCCTGCGATGATAGTGCGATCCCGCAGGCGTGATGTCTGCCGTGGGCCTAACACGGCCAATATGTCATCAACGAATTCAATTGCCTGAGTGCGCAGCCGACGGATGACCCTGGAGGCTAGCCAGTGTGCACGAGAAACGACGTCGGGGTGCGGGGCCAATATTTCATCAAGATCCATAATGGCGGGCGTCTGCTCATTTTCGCTTTTGAAAAGAACTTTGACTCGAGTCGCCATGCGCAGCTCCAGCGCTGTCCATCCACGTGTGAACCACGGCGAAAGCACGATGGCTAGACATGCTGTTTCGGTATCATCGGCTTTGATATTGAGTAGATAGCTGTCGTGGATGACAGTGTACTCGGCGTCCGCGTAATTTTTGTGCATCTGGTTGATGGCTCTGCTGCGGGTCCGCGGTTCAAGTGGCAAGGACAGCGCGTCCCACCAGATCCCTTCGCAGTTCAACCTCTCTGCAATGCGCGCGAAATACTCAAACAAACAACTGTTGACCTGACCTTGGTCAGACATCCCAACACCCGTCCCGTCTGACCATACATGGGAGATGGCGATGTACGAGGCATCCACCGCGCTGAGTTCCTTCTTGTCCCGCGACCACGCCGTTCCTTCTCCCAACTCCACTCTGGCTATCAGTTCCTGCACCGGATATTTTGCCTGTTTGCAATCATTTTCAGACAGGCTACATTTATGCATCTGGTGCACGCGCGTACTATCCATGTGCGCAGTCTGACACCTGTTTGGGGCACAGCCGACGTGTTCTTGATGCTTCAAGGCTTTTCGTCGATCTGTATCTTGAAGGCTACGGATTAGGTCTGGTAGGTCGTTCTGCTTTCGTTCCGCGACATCCACCAGGTTCCAGAAGCGACAGCTGCACAGGCTCAGGTTGTCAATGTGCCGCGCGGCTTCGTGAACAGCCGGTACAGTGACGCTCCGAGGAATATAGTAGCCATCCCAACGGCCCATGGCCGCTGGTTCCAGAGAATAACAAGCGAGAATGTTTAGCATCCAATAGATCAGGTTGCAGACAGACTGCACGTCAATGATAGGTCCCATGAACCCGTCGTCTGTGGACCGGATCATTCGCTTCCCATGATTGGCTCTGGACGCATCAAGAATGGTGTAGCAAGCGTGAACTGCGCTAATAATATGTGTGTGTACGCGCGCTGATCGCTCCATACTCATGAAGTCTACCTGTCCGTCTTTCGAGTTGCCCTTGCTGTTGCAGTCTTGCGCCAATCCTTCCCGGCAGGACATGACAGTGAGGACCCAGTCTCGGAAAGGGCGCCATTCACAAGAGGGCGCGCTCCGACACATCATCTGTCGTGTATCACGACATGTTTTGTGATTGCACTTGCGCAGCTTAGCTGCGATACAAACGTGGCTTATTTGGACCAAGAAGCCAACGCTTTGAAAAGTGGTAGGTATGGTTGAGGCAGGATTTGTGAGCCATAGGTCGGGGCGGCTATTGGCATTGGAACAACAAGTGTCGGTATTGTTCTGGGGAAGAAGCAAAGGAGTATCGCCATGTAAAGGCTGGTTCGGTTCGACCAAGAATTGGCATTTTTCTTGTTCCTTTTCTTGGGATATAAAATTGTGGTAGCATAAGATGTTGAGAAGTGAGTTCGTTGCCGCCATGTCTTCGCACGATTGTGCTAGTTCTAAAGGCATATCGGGGTAGTTTCTGGTCCAGTTCGTCTATTTGACAGTCAATGGTTCATATAGTCGCCATCACCGCCGATACTACTACCAGTATGCTTGTACGGCATCGGCGACCAGCGGGGGCCGGAATGGAGGCCGACGAGCTAAGGTAGTAGCATTTCCGACAATGCGTATGATTAGTGAGAGATGCAGGGGCATACTGTAGGTGTAATTACTCGGATTGAAACATGGCCTATTACCTACACACTAAGAAGCAAGTCATTCTATCCCGTGGTTGCTTTTGCCAAGGTGTCGGAGACGGACGGCTGAGATGTAGCCCGTGTGCCTCCCCGATTGGTTGTCATGATGCACTCCAGCGCACAGCTGCAAACATCCATGCAAGATGGTGGAGTAAACATTCAGCTGAGATGACAGATGCTATCCTCCTCCAGTGAGAGTGTGATGAGTCGCCGGGGTGGAGAGATTCTGAGAGAGTCGTGGTTGGGAGATCAAAAGTACTGTCCGGGCCGACCCATGTGACAATGTGATTTGTCAGACGGGTGGAGCATCCGATGCCTACAATCGTAGCTGTCAGGCTGTTCAGTTGCCTAATGCACTTCTCGCATTCACTCGACTCCGTATCTGTTTGTGGCAGAGCTGAAGGCAGCGGCTTCGAAGATGCGCCAAAGTGCGGCTGAACTCCGCGATCGGCGGTGTCAGAATTGTCTACTCTGTTTGGATACTCCGAGTGGATGAATGAATACAGAGAGGTATTTAACATGAGGGGATTCTAGATGTTCTTCCTACTATATCTGACCCACGATTCATCTACTCTCTACCCCCAGCCAGTGCAACCGGTGAAAAAGAAGGCATAATGACTCCTACCACCGGTGATGGGGATCCTCCTTCATCAACCAAGTCTTCCTTAACTCAGCGGTTCTTTTCAAGTATCGGGAATAAGATCAAAGACTTCCTTATGCGCAGGAAACCAGGGTTTATGGGCAGAATATCAATGTACCTGGTGGAAAAACTCTTGGCATTTACCAGAAAGCTTACGCAACACTCGGTCCCTTCCTCAAAACCGCAAGAGGTATGTTCATTTATCTATCAACATTCGTCTCTGGCCGGCTAATTTGTATAGGTCATCAAAAATCCTCAAACCGAGGAAGACTTCAAGAAAAATGTGGATTTCTTGGTCAAACAGAGCAATCTCAGTGGCTATGCCAGCCAACTCAACGACTCGTATCTCCGCGAAGTGGCGAAGAAGGCTGTCCAACTAAAGAACGACCCGAAGAATCATCTAAACAACCCGGATCAGATCACTAGACTCACCAAGCTAGCCCTCTATCAACCGGTTCTTTATTGTGGTATGATTGATATCAACCCTCACATGCTTAAGTTTGTTCATTCGCGACTGAGCTCTGAGTACAGATGATAGTAGTTCTATGGATCAGCTTATAAAAGACTCTGACAAAACCAGGCTACAGGCACTACAGGAGTTGGTCAAGCGCATCATTAGCGTAGCGACCAGAGCTGTGCCAGACAATCCCGAGAAGCCCGGAGAGAAACTTGCAGGTGCCTCCTTGCGATTCATGAACATGAATAATGAACACACTATTTGCAAGCTGGAAGACCTAAGTCAAGTGGTATTTAAGGCTGATGGAGCTACTCCCTTGGGCACTAAACTTCACGACAGGGTCCTGAAACCTTTGATCTATGATGTTCTCGGGACCCAGAAGATGCTACCACGACCCCTGCTCATTTTCACGATCACTGATGGTGTACCAAATACCGAGAACAGCGATACGTTCCCGAAAAAGATTGTTGAATGTATGCAGTATCTCACTAAACACGAGTATCCCAGGGAGGGTAAGTACTGCTCACCTTAATTATTACCCTACTACCTCCTGTACTTACGGTATTTGTGTAGTTGTGAGCTTCGCTATCAGTCAGGTTGGCGATGATGAGAACGCAAAAATTTTCCTGGACAGCCTGAACAATGATAATATGATCCGAGATGTTCTTCATTGTACTACAGGTGAGTAGGTTATTTACCCTAACTTATCTCACTTTTAGTCTAATAGCAAATGTCAGAGCTCTTGGATGAAAAATTCGAGAAATTAAGGGCAAATGAGAGGGATCTGGAGACATGGGTATGTGTCTTGCTTTCTATTCAAACTAGGCTAACCGAAAGCAGTTGCTCGATATGTTGTCAAAACAGATTCAAATCAAGAAGCCAGAATCCTCATAAAATCGCCCTACCTTTTCAATGACAATTTCAGGGCATGGAAGGATATTTATAGTAGTCGTTCTGAAGTGAGAGAATTGCGAAGTGCATGTATCAACAGAAGTCATTCACTGTTTTATCTGTACTATCAAATATGTCCGAAAGTCAGATTATTGGAACATAGACTAGTCATGTTATCCTGAGACGATCCCTTCTTCTACTGTGTTTAGGCTGCAGATGTCGACGCAGCTGAGGGAGAGGCTGGCCGCTGGGTCCCACGGTTAGTAACCAATGGCTGTCTAACACAAATCCATTGATAGGCACGTAATTGTCTCATCTGGTGCTCTTGATTTGCTTTTTCTGTAATATATACACTAGGTCTAGTTCTATTTATTGGACAGATACCACCCAATCATTACTATCAGGCAAACAGCCCTAACCCATCCCCAACACGACCCCATCCCATCACCATGTCCGAGCGAGTCTCAACTGCCCTAGCCAAAATAATACAAAACAACCCATGGATGAGCCAAGTAGCAGGCATTCTGCCCTTATCCGCCCTAATCGACTTCATTGACATCCCCGTCAAGATCCATACACTGCAAGTAACCGGCAGCTGCCCACTATGGTCGTGGGCCATCACACCCTCAGGCAGTCGACTGCTCCTCTCCGACAACAGCAACAATCCCAACTATAAAACCCCTATCCTCGATCAATACGGCAACAGCATTAGTTTGTTAGGAATTGACGGCCGATATGGCGACCAATACCTGCTCCCGAATCCAGAAACAGTCCGAACATGCATCAGCTCGCAATCCGCACATGCCATCCACAACAGACACGCAAACATGGAAAAACCAAAGCAACAACTCCGAATCCAAGAGCTCGAAATAATTCACGTCCAACGCCATTCACCTAACTCCACTACACAACCATGGCCATGGCCATACCTCTCCCGCTTCTCCCCCCGCTACGTCACCACCAGCCTCCTCGGCTACATCAGCCTGCTATGCCTCATAGTCCTCGCCATTTTCTCCAAATGCTACCTCGCCGTAGCCTTCCTCCTCCTAATGCCCCTATCCGGCGCCATTGTCACCCTCACCCACGGCAACGGCCCCCGCCGCCTCCTAAACAGCGACACCATGACCTCGCCGTACAACCGACTGGTCACCGTGGCCCAAAACACCAACTCAAGCCACTGGACCATCTTCTACGGCGAAAGCACCCTAGTCAACTCACTCCTAAACCGTCCCCTCGAACCCGACGAGAGCCACCCACTCCTCTCATCCTTCTCCCCTCTCTCATCCCAACTACTGAAAATGCTCCTCCGGGTGCTGATTCTCGCCCAATGGGCCCTCGCCATCGCTACAGCAGCTACCCAGGACTGGAACGCCTTCTACATCTGCTTCTGGATCGTATTTTCCATTTTCGCGCATGCGTACTTGATCCCCCTTCACACGGAGATTCGTCGCTGGTTGATGGCATCCGCGAGGATACAACTGTGTAGGTATACCACGCAGTTGAGTTCGAGACGTGCGTTGCTGAATACAGTTATTGCGTTGAATCCGGATACGTTTCCTGCTGGGAAGACTGTGGCAGAGAAGGAGGGGGGAGGGAGTGAGTCGGAAGACTCTACTGTCACCAGTAGTACTACGATTATTGCGAATGACACGAGCAGGCTATGCCCTGGTGCGATGAAGGCTATTAACCCCATCTTGGAGCCGAGTGATGAGCGCTCGCTGTGGGAGGAGGCGACTCGTGAGGCGATGATGCTGTGTGAGGATGTACCGGTGGAGAAGCGGATAACGGGTCTGAGTAGTACTGAGTGCGGGGATTTGCTTGGTGAGGAGTGGAAGAGGCAGTATGGGAGGCTTTATTGGATGCCGTTTATTAGTGAGGGGATCTATATGGCGGCGAAGATTCGGAGCGAGGCTGGGTTGTCGGGAAGGATGGTGAGAGGGAGTGGTGTTTAGGGGTCTTCTCAGTATCATGATATGATGATTATGATGTTGAAGATAGTAGAAATAGATACTAGTAGATAAGTGATGCTTATGTTCATGTGCATCATGGGGATATCACGACATCTAATGTTTTGGACAATTGGCAAGTTTACCACTATCAACGCCAGGGCCTTCTGCACATTACGTCGTCCTATAAAAAGGTTACAAATACTTAGTGTTAAATTTCTTCGCAGTGCTAGCAGGCGAAGTAAGAAAGGAAAAGTGTTCCCAGCAGAGGCTATCCGAGGATCCCTTCAGTTGGTGGCTGATGCCCGAAAGAGGATCAATGGGGGTGGAACACACTGTTATGCTCATACCGGAGACGGTCAACTGCGCAAGGTGCATCTCCCGGAGAGAAACCCGAGAGTTCGAAGACTACCGAGGAAAATAAATTGCGCGCATTCCGAGATGGAAGTCCAAGCACTGGAAGTCAAATCCCGGTAGCGGAAGTTTAGTTCCCTTTGGGCTTCCGACCCAATCAGCAGAAATAGGTTGTCACGTTGCATTTTATCAATTAAAACTAGGTACTAGGAGGGGAATCATCGATGTACGGATCAATCGAGAAATGATTAGGCACTTTTTTGAAGTGACATTGTATGGAAACTCAATACTAGCATAGGGCAGGTCACTGTCTACATACTGGTTATAGTAGTTCTGTTGAATGTAGTAGTATTGATATTGAGCATAATGATTTCTGTTTCTGCTATGTGTCCTGGTCGGAGGCGGCATCAGTCATATGCATAAAACTGTATCATAAACATAACCCTCATATAGACGTGACAAGCGTAATAATAAATAAAGAAAACATCACAGCGAAGGCTTCGCGGCGACGTACTTCCCCTGCGTTCCATCGAGCTGCGCCTCCAAAACAGCCGTGGTACCATTCTGCACACTCTTGATCGCCTCAGGTAATAGCTTTCTCAGCTGAGCAACATTAGCAGCCTGAGCGCCCCAAAAGGTACCACCAGATGCAGCTGTCGCAATACCCGGATAGTCGGGAGTCGGGGCGAAAGAGATGTTGAGGTCTTCGTTCGTAGCACGAGATCCATCGCCATTCGGATGGACGAGAAGCATACTGCGACGAGGGGCATTCCAGCCCTTGTTGTTGAGCACGATCGTAAGAATAGGAATGTTATAGCGACGAGCAACCCAGTAAACAGACCCTGGAACGGAAAAGAGATAGGTGCCATCCCCGACGATCTGGCAGACAAATTTGCCTTTGTTTGACCCGCCGTGTTTAGCGTCAGTGGCGAGCTTGATGCCCAGGGCACCGCCGCCGGACCAGCCGAGACCACCACCGCCGCAGTTGATCCAGGATTTCGGCAGTGTAGGCGCAATCTGGTCGGCCACGTTGGCGGTGAGGGTTACGGATTCAATGGCCCAAATGGTATCGGAAGGGCAGGACTGGCGTAGTTGGCTGATGAGATAGTTGGCATTGAGGGGGGCGACATCTCCGCCGGGAGGTAAGCGGGCGAGGTTGTAGATAGCCTGGCGGGTCTTCTGGAAAGCCTCTGCGCGGCGCTTGCCCCGAGCACGGTTCTCATCCGACTGGATTGTCTGCTGAATGGAGGGGTTAGATGCAATGTATTCATTGAGCTGCTTGAAAGCGGTTGCCGACTCAGCGCGGAAGGTGGCAATTGTGGGGATGTAGGCGACGGGAATCTGCTGCTTGAGGGGGTCGACGTCGACGTGAATGATGCGGGCAGAGTCGGACGGCTTGCAGAGCGTCGGAATCCAGGGTACATCACAGTCGGCAACGAGAATGAAGTCGGCGGATTTGATGGCATCATGAACCCCGAAGCGCATGCCTAGGTATGCCGGATGGTCTCCTGGAAAGCACATATCGCAGCCGCCAGTGTCGAGGACGCGGATGCCCTGGAAGGTGTTGGCGAGGGTGACCAACTCGTGGACACCTCGCGCTTCTCGGCCAGAGTAGCCGACAATGACCAAGGGATTTTTGGCAGCTGCGAGCTCTGATGCAATCAACTCAACACCTTCAATTGGGAGAGCAGACGGGGAGACAGACACCCAATGGCTCTGATTGAGAGTGTAAGGAGTAATTTCCTCCTCCATAACTTCTCGTGCACCGGCCAGGTAGACGGGCCCCTTAGGATCACTGGTGGCGAATTGAAGAGCGCGGTTGACCATCTGCTTGATGTTCTTGCCAGATCGAATTTCTGCGGCATACCGGCAGTATTGCGAGACGATCTGCTTCTGGTCGGGAACATCTTGGATCCAATGAATGTATTCAGTGCGCGAGCCACGCATCTCCCCCTCAATCGTATAGGGGGAGAGACCGGCGAAGATCAAGACGGGGGCTCGGCCACAAGAGGCGTTGTGGATAGCGGCAGCGAGCCCCTGGGTGCCGACATCGACATGAACAATCACGCATTGAGGTTCCCCAGTCAAGCGAGCATAACCGTCGGCCATAGACAAGGCCACCATCTGCCAAGGACGTATGCGGGGTTAGTGTCGGGCGAGATCCACAGCGAGTTTGCATTGATCGGCTCACCTCGTTGGGACAAGTTATGATCTTAGGGAAAGCATTGGGCTTTTCTTTCTGGCCCTTGACCATAGCCTCGAGGATGGAGGGGTGGTCGGAGCCCAGATTGACAAAGACGTGGGAGACACCAGCCTAGAAGGTTAGCTTGACCGACCCTTCATTGTCGACGGGGGCCGTACCTCCCAAAGTGCCTCGAAGAAGGCAAAGGATGCTGTGTAGACCCTGAGGACTGTCAGTGACTATAAAATAGGCAAAAAAAAGGTAATTGGGAGAAGGCAGTTACTCACATCGTCGCAATTGATCAACAATGGTATGTAATGAGCAAACAATGGTGAAAGTCTGGAGATGAACGAGAGCAATGCGGAGTAAAAGAAGGGGGATACAGGAATTCGGGGATAGATTGATAAAGCCGGCTTAATAAAGGACAGGCTCGGGGGCAAGTCCGAACTGGTGAGGAGAAGCTGCAGCTTAACACCGAGGTTAACGGGGATTCACTGAGTAATCACCAAACTAGGTAAGTAGTTCGTTAATAAAGTTAGCACGATGAGGTGGTACCCATAATTGAGCTGCAAGGTGCAATCATGGCTCTATGCCGGGGGATTAGTGTGGAAGTGCTCGTCTTTCCACTATGCGCCGGAAGCCGATCAGTAGTAACAACAAAAATGGAATCAGAACTGTCCAGTATCACGAGTGTTCGATCAGCCCTATCCTGCCCAGTTCTCTCCGACAGGAGCTTGTTTCAGTGCCAAGTTGGTAGTTGGTGGATCCGTCCACCGATTAATCTTACCAAAATAGTTCCACTGTTCATCGGCCAGTTTGTCAATTGATTATCACTGGCCATCGTCAGCCCGCATGACGTCGTGGCCGCGTCCCTCCAATTGCTCGCGGTTTTTCAAGGGATGCGCTCACCACATCATCTTGTAGCATTGGCCCCAATTATTTGTTATATTATCCCCTGGTCATCCAGAATCTGATTGCTAACCGGTAGCCCCCAAATACGTCATCTCGTAGACAGGCAGCCATCCCTTTTATATTAATATTAATAGTCATGGTCGCGCCAGTGGCCTGGGGTCCCGCCAGCGAATCCACTTGGATGCCCCTTTTTAAACTCGCCAGCGCCGTGATTTCCTTGAGTTTGGCTTCGTTGATTTTTTGGTATCTTCGTCAGCCGAAAAGTACCAATCAAGTGCGAACCACCATGCTCTCCGACACTGTATATGAGCTCTGTCATGACGAGAAGACCGTCACCTCGGAGCTTTTGCAGGATCCGTCGCAGTCGCCCACCAAGCTATTCCAAAAGTTGTATCATGATCGGAAGACAAAGTCGCACAAATCCGACTCGGATGAGTCGTTGGACAAAGGTGAGAATGAACTGCGAAAAGTTCTGCAGTGTGGAAACTGGGGCAGTTCCCAACCCAGTGACCTTTTCTTGAAGGTAATTAACCGGCCAATCCTATCATGTTACTTTCCTAAAGGACACTACCTGACAATAATCAGATCTACCATGATGCGCTTTGCGCATTAGAAAAGAATCCCATGTCCGGGGTAGTCTCCCCGCCACTCATGGGCAGCCACGGCGTAGTTCCTCTGACTATCATTGCCCCATTGCCTGATCTCTGTCGCCATATGGCCAACTGCATTGTGCGAGCTGAGAAGGAAGTGTTCCTGGCGACGAATTTCTGGATTCACTCGGATGCATCAACGCTGGTAACTAATGCGTTCCGTGAGCTATCCCGACGAGCCGGCGAACGTGGAACGAAAGTGATTGTCAAGATGGTCTATGATCGTGGAGATCCGCAGCAACTGTTCGAGAACCACCTACCAGTGCCGGAGAAAAAGTATACCAGCGAAAAGGTGCAGCTGCCTGCGGCTCATGAGATTCCCAACATCGATCTGCAGGTAGTCAACTACCACCGGCCCATCTTCGGAACCTTTCACGCCAAGTTCATGGTCATTGATCGGCGTATTGGACTGCTGCAGAGCAGTAATGTGCAGGATAACGATAACTTAGAGATGATGATCCATGTCGAGGGTCCCATTGTGGATGGGTTGTATGACACGGCGTTGATTTCGTGGGGTCGTTCGCTCGACCCTCCACTGCCCATGCTGGACTCTCCCGCCACGGAGGCTCCCATTCCTTGTCACGCCTCGCAGCAGCCAGACTATGATGCTCCCGATCCGGGGCCTCTACCTGAGCTTACTGTCGATGAGCATCACTATGACTCGGATATTCGCGCTGAGGCCCAGCGCATGAATGGCTTGCTGTTACCACGTGAAGGAGAGACCAGAACGCAGGCCGTAACTCGTCGCTTAAGTATGCACCACCACCTCTAGTGATTAATACTTGAATAGGAGCTAATTCTCATAAATAGATACCACAATTCAAACCGACATGTCCGCCGACGCCCCCGAAAGTGACCAAGACCCCATCATGCAGCCTTACGTCGTTCTCCCACCGCACGACCCCTTCCCCATGGCTGTTATCAACCGTGAACCCTGGGGTGCCCCCAACCACAGCAGCATTCACACGCCGCAAAACAGCAGCTTCCTCGCGGCAATCAACAACGCGCAAGAATCCATCTTCATCCAGACGCCCAACATGAACGCCGAGCCCATCATCCAGGCCCTCATCGAGGCCATCAAGACCCGCGAGGTCACCGTCACATGCTACTTGTGTCTGGGGTACAACGACGCCGGCGAATTACTACCGTTCCAGAACGGGACGAACGAGATGGTGGCGCATCGGATGTACAAGGCGTTGGACACGGACGAGCAGCGGTTCCGTCTGCGGATCTTCAACTATGTGGCGAAGGATCAGGTACGGCCAATTCATAACAAGTTTAAGCGGAGGAGTTGCCATATTAAATTGATGATCGTTGATGAGAGGGTTGCTATTCAAGGTATTTCCAACTCCATACTTCATTTCATATCTCAAGGTGATGAGAAAACTGACGAATATGCAGGTAATGGTAATCTCGACACCCAATCCTTCTACCACAGTCAGGAGGTAAACCTCCTACTCGACTCCCCATTCGTCTGCCGCGCCTGGCGTGAAGCCATCGACCGGAACCAGAACACGGCGTACTACGGCGGTGTCAGTCCCGATGACGGCTGCTGGCATGATCCAACGACGAATGATATCCCCGTGGGGTCGATTGGCGTTGACCCGGGGCACTTTAGCTGGGCACGGGGTGCAGTAGGAGCGGTGCAGAGAGTGAGAGGGGCGGGTGGTTTCTAGTATAGTATTCTTGCATGGTCTTTTGGTTAGTTTCGATCTTTATTTAGTAGCGATGTGTTAGACATGTACGAATTTAGCATATTTTATAGCATGTTTGGATAGTCATGCAGTTGGATGAATGCTATATCTCTACCCAACTTCATCCTAATCAGTACTTATCAACAACTACCAACCACCCAAGATGGACGAGTCTAAGCAACAGACGCCCCCATCAGCAAAATAACGATCTACGCCCATCACCACCAATCCCACCCTTCACACCGTAGCCCGAATCGCCCTCCTCGACGCCCTCTTCTGCGCCGTCGAAACAACCCCCAAATCTCCCCCCGCACGAGCCCTCCTTGGCCCCATCATCTCCGGCACCACTGTTCCCCACGGATTTCCAGTCCCTGGTACCTCACACACCGTAGACCCAGTAAACGGCACATTTGACGTAGACCTCTTAATCCGATACCTGGACCACAACGATGCGAGTTGGGATGAGAAGGGTGGGTTTCGGATTGAGGACAAGAAACTGATGAGGGGTTAATTGGAGGTTGGGAAGAGGAGTATTGCTGCTGGGGTGGTGGTGAGGTTGAAGGATGGGCGTGCATTGGAGGAGGTGCTAGTGGAGTTTCCCGTTGGTCATATGAGGAATCCGAGGATGGCGGAGAAGATCAGGAGGAAGTTTGTGAGGAATATGCGGTTGGTGCTTACAGAGATTATTGGGAGGATAATGGAGGTGATATAAAGGGATGATGGCAGGGTTTGTGAATTGGTGGATCTGCTTGCGAGGTCAGAGACCGGCATTGGCATGTCTATGAGTTAAGAGCTCAGAAGTGAGGAAGAGTAAGTAGTATTAGATTGGTTCCGGCCCTCGTTAGATTAGTGGTATATCAATGTTGCGGCACACAAGATGGCATGGCTACTCCCTGTAGCGTCAAGTATACATCTGTTCCCCATCCCCACAAGCTCTGCACCGCAATGCTCCCTCCAAAATACTCTGCATATGCCCGACTCAGCGGCAGCCCATATCCCAGTCCGGCGATGCTGCCCAAATGCCCCCCACTCCCGGCTATCGTGTTTAGCGCGTCCATGCTGCCATTCTCCGACCCGTTCATACCATAGTCAGAGAACGTAGTGAAGCTGTATGACCAGATATTCGGCAGCACTTCCGGAGGGATACCTCCTCCCCGATCTCGGATGCGGATCGTAATGCTCTGCTGCGACGGCGACCAGCACTTGATCGACTCGTTCGCATCTGCCGTCCCCACCACTGTGTCCATGTGAAATCCAGTGTCCGAATCGGAATGACTCCACTTCTCCTTCGCCTTCGGGTCATGTACCGGACTGGCAGGAACATCAGGTGCCGCAGCAATAGTTACCTCAATGGGTTCGCTCCCATTCCCGGACTCAATAACCGCCCGGAAAGCATTCTTCAGCAGCTCTGTAAGAATATACTCCACGTGGACCGGCACATGCGCGAAAGAAGCGTCTGGCTGTCCGCCAATATTCAATCGCGGTCGAACCCCATACTTGAGCTCGCAGATCTCCCCCACAAAATCCTCGCACGATTTGACTATGCGGGCGGGTTGCAGCGCGGTATCAATGACTCCGATATAGTTTGATGGCGCAGCATCTTTGGGTACTTCTTGTTGTTCAGCGGGATCATCACGGACAGGCTGCGAGGCAAAGTGCAGTGCCAAGTGTTGCTCTGCTATCAGCCGCGTGCCGATTCTGGCGCGCAAATGCGTGTCCAGGAAGCGTGTTACCTCAGTGGGATCTATGTATCGGCGACATTCAAGAAAGCCGCGGGCAAGAATGGGAATGGTGTTCGTATGTGTATGCACGAGATCGGCAAGTACCTCTGCGAATTGATTCTCCTCCTCTAGCGTCGTGACCTGACGTTGTTGATATGGTAGGAGAGTCGAGAGGGAGTGTAGGTAATTATTGTAGATCTTGGAGACATGCGGATTCGAAACGACGATAAATGGGAGGTTACGGAGAGCCTCGATGCGAGACGCTAGTCGGGCCGGAAGGAGGGAGAGCGTGAAGTTGGCCGAAGCCAGGAGGGCATCTTTGCACAGGGGCGGGCGGCCATGTCTATCAAATTAAACAGTTATTCCTATATCAACTAACAAAGTTCATCGCATGCTGCATACTTGAGCAGATCTGCAAGAGTCAATGGGCGGCGACGACTGGCGGCGAGACGTGCAACTTCATCATTGGCGCCGTAGGCAAATGCGTGCCGTGGGGATGTAGTAGTCTGCACGAAAGGTGAGGAAGAAAAGGACCTTGCTGGAAAGGTTGAGAAACAATGATATCGAAGGCTAGCACCCCGAGACGCAGTCTGCAGGGCTCGTCTTACCGCCATCGTAGAAGTTGGCCATCGCGACTTGCGAGACAGCAGTCGATGACCTCACAAGCCGGACTCCGTAGGGAATCCGTCTCACGTGCTGCCGCAGACTCGCCAGTTGACTCACCCCTACAGCCACAGCTAGGGAGTATACGCCGAAAGTAAAAAATGAAAAAGTAATCATATGCGATTCGACGTAGATATCTGCACGCACCCCCTAGCCACATTAAGAATTACTCCGTAACCCCTGTCCTCACAGACATCATCGATCCTGCACTGCACCCAAAGTGGTGCACTGGTTGGTCCCTCCGACCCCTCGGTTTCCTTATCAGGGCGTGAGATCGACCCCCGCAGGTGCCTAACTCTCACCACTTACTAGTAGCCGCAGAGTATAAATAAACGGTCCCCTGTCCCATCGGGCAACTCATCTTACACCTTTCATCAACATTCTCAGATTCAAAGTCTTCAGATTTCTTTTCCACTCAAGAACTACTTCTCTTCGTCAGAACAAGACTTCCGCCAACATGCCTCACCAATACATCGTTCGTTTGTCGGATGTTGTTCCTGCCCCTGGGTAAATGCTAACGAGTTTCATTTTTAGGTCAGCCTCAACAAGGAGTCTCCCCCTGAGGAGCTTGAGAAGTGAGTCCTACCACGCTTCACTCATGCAAAGATTAGCTCTAATATTCGTATGTGATCAGGGCCAAGAAGACTGCTACCGACAACGGAGGCAAGATCGTGAAGGAATTTGCACTGGTCAAGGGATTCGTGTATGTACACTCTCCGCTATCACGCAGCTTTTTGTATCCTCAACTAACTCTTAGTAACTTAGCGTCCAATACGATGATGACCAAGTCTCTACCCTCGAGTCCTCCGACCACATCAATGTCGAGAAAGACAGCGAAGTCTCAATCCAGTAAACAGTGGACCAAAGTTATCAGAGTGAACTGGTCCGGCTATATGAATACTTTGCGGGAGCTTAGATAACTTCTCTATCTCATTTGTTATATTCCATGTATGAATTATGATATGACTTGCATAAAGGACTCTTATATTGTATCCAAGACTAATAAGTACGAGTGATCGGTAAAGACTGCAGGAGCGCGAAATCTGAGCTCCTGATATAGAGCTCTACGTACTGTGCCTATACTGTTGATGTTACACCGTCGGCCCCTCAAAAGTCTTACTTCTCATTAACTATGGATGAATGCAACTGGCAATGCCGGATTCGGATTGAATTGCATTGTCCATCCTGTGATTCCCTGCCGCAATGACGCACCCGATGACGTTATCCCGCGAGGGGCAGTCACGTGTTGTATAGTTATCAACAGCCTGTGCATGACGTTCACTGAAGATCTTCCGAGATATCTATGCAGAAAATAGTATAGATAAAATCTTCAATAGATCATATGATATTTTATTCCACTGCATATTATGCGGTCATATATCCTTCAAAAACCCCACCTCAATCACCTTCTCAGCTCCCAGTCCCAACGAAGCTATTTTCGCCCGCGTATTGTCCCGAATCCATAGGAAGATCTCCAGCACAAATCGTCTGAAGATGTTTGTACCCCTTTTAACTCTCATCTGCTCCTTGCCAGTGATGTAGAGTACGTTATGTGCACAGGCCTTCTCCAGCAGTGCCACTGGGTCGATCTGTTTCCCTCGACTGGTGATGGTCTGGGACTCTTCAGCACTCGTCCTATCTTGGCCTATGTCCCGACTGAACTGGCTAATGCTTGTGCTCGCTTCAGTTGGTGTAGTAGTGTGTCTGTTTTCGATTAAGTATTTGCGGACCTGATCAGTGATGGTGCTAGCGAGATCCGGAGAGATGATCTCGTCATTGTAGCCGTAGCGGACAACCAGACGGTAGCAATTCGGAATCGCAAGTTTTGAAACAGTGTAGCGGTCATCGATAGGGACTGACGGAGTTTCGAGCGGCCGCAGATGGAAGAAGATGATCGTCTCAAACACTGTGGTGAGTTTTAGGATAAATTGGCTGAAGACAATGGGCGTGGTCTCTCCAGCTTTGTCGAAGAATATCCCTACGCCCTGAGTGGTGCTCAAAGGTGCACCGTCGAACCTATCTGTAAGGCGAATGCTACCGTCCTGATCCTTGGTCACAAAGTGCGAAGTGGGGAAGCGATCTTCTGCTTCAGCGAACCATTGCTGCTCCTTTCCGAATCGCCAGAGGAGGAAGAGCAAGGCAAGAACAGTCGCTACGGCGAGAGTGAACCATGCACCAGTTGGGACTTTTGTTAGTGCCGATGAAAGGTATGCTCCGTCAAAGCAAGCAATTATGAGCCAGGGCAGGAACACAAGGTAAGGACTCTTGCGCCATACGAACATAGCTACCATTGCAACCATGCAAGTGTCAAAGAAGGTCACAAAGATGACACACACTCCGTATGCATTCCCAAGAGATGTAGTCTGCACTTTATTAGCGAACTTCAAGGGGCATAAATCATTTTGACATACGTTGTTATAGATGGATGCCACAAGTATTGTCCCGATCATCAATAGCCAGTTCGCAAGAGGTATATAAAGCTGACCATGGAATATATCGGAGGTATGAACCACCTTAAATTGCGGAAGGTATGAGAGCTTCATCACTTGTGCTAGGAGCTAAACAGGGTTAGACTGATCATTTCATACAGGTGGACTATATACCTGGAATGTGGCGGTGATAATTGCTTGCGATGCAACAATAGCTGCGAGAATAGCAATTACAAGCGCAGGATATATGGTGCCTGGAGGAGCTGCGTTATAGAATGGGTTCGAGTATGCCTCTGGATGCACACTGATGTATGCAGCCTGCCCGATGTACGCCAGAAGCAGGCAAGGAAATGTGTAGCATAGCCAACTTATCTGGATAGCCCGACGACTAAAAGCACCAAGGTCGGCAAAAAGAGCTTCGACTCCAGTGAAGGCAAGTAAAGTACCACTGAGCATCCTCCATCCTGATTCTCCATGTCGAATCAGAAATTCGAAAGCGTAGCCGGGGTTGAAAGCGACAAAAACTCCGGCATCGTATTTAGCAAGATTATAGATTCCGAATGCAGCATTGAAACCAAGCCAAATGATGACGATTGGGGCAAAGGCGAACGTAACCCGCGTGATACCAAGTGGCTGTAGCAAGAACAAGATGACCAGGATAGCATCCGTGACGCCAATAACAGTACCTTTGGAAATGTTCGGAGAAACAACTTCAATTCCCTGGACGGCACCTAGCACAGATTGAGCGGGAGTGAGTAGGCCATCTGCAAGAACCATTGTAACGGCCAGTACTCCTACAACTTTCAGTAGGCGCTTCGCGAACTTGCTTGTTTCCAGCCTGTGTCGAGCAAATCTGCTGGAGCGCTCGAGATCAATCGACAAGTGTCTCTTCATCTGCACAAGGGATGCCTCTCGAGGATCTCGATGAGTTATATTCATCTAAGCTGGTCAGCTTCATCCTGCACAGAGAAAAGTGCGTCTTACATAACGACTGAGCAGAGAATATGTACTGAATGTACCACCCTCTCCATCATTATCCGCGTGAAGGATTATGAAGATGTATTTCACGGTCACCATAATAGTAATACTCCAAATAATAATGGAAAGTACTCCGATAAGATCTTGGCGTGAAGGCGGTTCAGTGAATGTAGACGAATAGACATAAAGCGGGCTGGTTCCAATATCTCCGTAGATGACACCGATCGACTGGTATGCGAGCCAAAGAAGCATTTTCCCGGAGAAATCCTGCTAGTATCAGCTTGCGTGCTTATGTACGCTGGAAAATCTGTCAGTCCGTACCTGCTTTTGCTTGAAGTCTGTAGGTCTGCGCAAGCCTGGGTCATCATCCTCGCCGATAGTACTCACTGTACTAATGGCGCGATCCAAGTGATTGTTATTCCATGGGCGGATATTGTAGATAGATTCTTGTGTCTGCTGGGACTTTTCTTCCACCGTCGTCTGTCTTGGCAGCTCCTTCATGATCTCTAGGTCAGGATCCATTGGCATGTGAGGTCTAAGACAGACTCGTGGGAGCACTGGCAGCTAGCTTGCTCAAAAGTCAGGTCAGGTCAGCGAGAGAGGTATTGAATGGCGCAGAGCTATGTGCGATTCGCTTTTGTAGCAGTCACACAGCATTGTAATATTTATATTAAAAGTTCAGGCAGCAAGAACGATAGATAAGCGTCAGCGTTCGAGCAGGTGTCCATCCCGCATGCTCTTCCCACCACAATGGGGGCACACACATCACAGCCATTGTATACGAGCCATCGAACGCCATATGGCTATATCCTTATCTCGAAGATAACGAGTATTGGATGGTATCCTATGAATGTTTTAGATAATGCACAGATAGCTACAGATAAAAGCTACGGGCACCTTGAGAGGGATTTTTCTGATCCAACCTCTTGAGTTCGGCCCAGAGAGTGCGGCATTTGTTCGCACCAATAGTTGCTTGGTGCAATTATGGTACATTCAATGCATCCCGCACCACATGGCGCTGATCATTCCCTCCGATTCGCTGGTGCTAAGGTGTCAAAAGAAATAAGAATATGATGCGCAAGTTTGGACCAAATCTGGTGTTTCCTGGAGGTGGTGACTTTAGCTCACATGATCGTCGCTGTTTCATCCTCTAAGCAACAGCCGCATCCAAATAAATATCCCCTATTATGAAGCTCAAAGCAGATTTAGGCTAGCGTTGATCTGTGCGTGTAGTTAGAACACAGGTTTTCATCTCGCTTCTTGCTATCGAAATAAGTGCAGTACAAGTTAATGGGACGTTCCCATCAAGGAATCAGAACATCTTCATCACTGACGGGCAAATTGTATAGACATACTTCTTAAGAATAGTACATAATAATAATACTAAACCGGAGACAGAGAAGGCGGCGGGTGAGACTGCCCAGGGGATTAGCCTCTAGCAGGCAGTTCCAACATATGGAACCCTAAACCGTAGACAAGACAGATACCCAACATACCCATAGTTTACCCACGCAAGCGCTCATGATAGAATTTTCGCGAAGCATTCACACCAGTCAAGTCCCATCTTTGTGGTGCTGCCTGATTCATGAGGCCTTGGGATTTCTTTTTTTTTTTTTATTTTTTTTTTACCGTCCGTCATGATCTGGACGCTCTCCTAATAGTCAGGTACTGGCCAGCTTATTCCCAGTCAAGGACGCCTGTGGTGTTGTTCTAAGCATCTAACATGATATTGGGTGGTGCACTATCACCATGGATGAAGATGTCTGATTGACTCTAACTGATGAAGACTGCTTTAGGCATAGCTACCTAGTAAACCCCTTGTTACCTCAAAACTGAGTTTCCTTGGTTGACAACTAAGTTGGTCTCGGTAAAATGGTATGGTAATGCTACATGAACGGAATATTAAGTTGCCTTTACTAGCCACACGCCTTGACGTGATATGCAATCGTTCTTATATATTGTAAATCATACATTATACTGGTGTTGTGACAGTTATCCCCAACAATTATAGCCCAACATAACCAGATTCGTCATTCTCCCTCTGTGGCATCTTCATGCCGTGCATACCAACATACCGGGGGCTTTGAGGCTCCTTCCATCCCTCCAATACCGTGGAATCCGCCAACTTGTACACTTCCACGCCGAGGGGACGTGTAGTTGCCCCCATATCCGCCTTCTCCTCCCAGCCCCAGTTCGACAGATCGCCTACAGTCACGGTTTAGTATATAGTTTGCATAACTGCGGGATAATGCTCACCTCCAGGACATGCCGACAGCGCACAGAGTACATCAACCTCAGCGAAGAATTCAATGTACTCTCCTGGCTTTGCAGGCGATGTTTCCATAAAGTACTTTCCTTCCTCATCGAGTCCCGTCACCTGAAAGACATTAAGCACGTCATGTACGTCAAGCTCTGTCAAGCCATACGGAACAACCGCGCGCGTCAGATTTGAGTGACAATGGAAGTCGAAGCTTTCTCCACCCATAACCAGATTCACATAAGGATCACATCGGGTACCAAGTAGGTCGTGCACGCGCCCTCCGAACTGCGTTGTGCCGAAGCCTTTCCCCTCTTTTCGTTTGCCATCCTCATCCAGAACTTCGTGAAGTTGCCCACCTGCTAGCGAATCACCTGTAATGGTAATTAGGGGGCGCAAGTAAGGCAGGTTCGACCAAAGGCGGTCACCAACCGAGACATGGGAAGCGTGGATCTGACGAGTGCGCGCTGCCCAGAGTCTTTCGCGTGGGTTGTTCGCATTCCAGATGTTGAGATCACCCACTTGAGGTCCCTTGGGCGTTGTGAGACGGCAAATATGCCCAGCTGGTACTACCCAAGCTTGGCCTGAGCATGGACGGATAATGAAGGACGACTCTAGAGTTCGTTTGGAGGACTCGGAAGCTGTTTCCGAGATGCTTCGGTACAGCTTTGAGGTAGCATGAACTCCAGAATCGGTGGGAGCTGTATAAGCTGGAGGGGGACGACGCGGAGCAGCCATTGTGGATCTATCTGGGTGAAGCAGCAGTCACAGGAACTATATTTGGCGGTTCGAGATGAGCAGTGTATACGACCAATGCGAGAGGGATGTATCTCTCAGCCCACGCCAGCGGCAGTGAACCTACGCTTTAATAGTACACGACTACCTCGGGATGCCAGCCGATGATCGCAGCGTTCCTTATCGTATTCTGCCCCATATAGCCCCGCTTTGGGGTCCCAGTTGGGGTCCTCTGATGGCCATCGCGACGTATTGAACCGGGCCGATATGAAGGGGTTGAGCCCTTATCGAACTCGACCGGGCCGGACGATAACTGATAGCAGGCTGATCTCATTAGTAATTTCGCTGCCTGGGGCAGCCATGTTCCTGTTCCGCCTTTTGCCCCCAATTTCTCCGGCGGAAAGATCTCGGCTCGGAAAAAGACCCCTCCGACGAAAGAAAATGGAAATAATAATTTTGGTCCGAGCTACAGGACAACGGAAGCAGCTCGCCGACTGCTCGACTTTTTGGTGAAAGCTTTTTTCTTTTCACGAGCCGGGGAGAGTTTTCTTGAGGGGTCTGCAGACCTCGTGTTTTCAAGATGGAGGAGCAATCCAACAGGGCGCATCGCCCTGCTAAAGAGAAAAAGAAGTACGACGGTATGTAGTACTTCAAAGTCGAATTCGCCGCTTCTCATGAAAATAGTCAACTAACAGATCTTTCGCAACTCAGGCCCGAATCCGAAGGCTTTCGCATTCTCGAATCCTGGAAAATCTAACAAAGCCGGTGCGAGATCTCACGATGTATGCGCTATCACCCTCTTCATAACTCCGTACGCAACGGTCACTGATGCTCATTCTGCCGCATAGATCAAAGAGAAGAGACTCCATGTGCCTCTTGTTGATCGCCTTCCTGAGGAGGCTCCGCCGCTCGTGGTGGCCATTGTTGGCCCACCGGGGGTACGTATCTTTGTCAATGATGCCATTGTCAGGGTTGCAACATGCTAATGCCTTCGCTGCTTATAGGTTGGAAAAACGACACTTATCAAGTCCTTGATCCGTCGATACACAAAACAGACCCTCAGTACCCCTAAGGGACCGTTGACTGTTGTGACCTCCAAACGGCGCCGCCTTACCTTCCTCGAATGCCCCTCCGACTCCCTCGCCAGCATGGTCGATGTGGCCAAGATCGCGGATATTGTGCTTCTGATGATCGACGGAAATTATGGCTTCGAGATGGAGACTATGGAATTTTTGAACGTCCTGGGCTCTCACGGTATGCCCGGCAATGTTTTCGGTATCCTGACCCACTTGGACCTTTTCAAGAAGCAGAGCACCCTGCGTGCTGCCAAGAAACGCCTGAAGCACCGCTTCTGGAGCGAGCTGTACAATGGTGCCAAGCTTTTCTACCTTTCCGGAGTTGTCAATGGCCGCTACCCCGACCGTGAAGTGCACAATTTGTCCCGCTTCTTGTCTGTCATGAAGAACTCGAGACCGCTCATTTGGCGCAACTCCCACCCTTACGCCCTCGCAGATCGATTCCTCGACATCACGCCACCTACTCAAATCGAAGAGAACCCGAAATGTGATCGGACAATAGCGCTTTATGGATACCTAAGAGGCACCAATTTCCCTGCTTCTGGTGCGCGAGTGCATGTCCCAGGTGTGGGTGACCTGACTGTCTCTGGTATCGAGTCTCTTCCGGATCCATGCCCAACACCCTACATGGATCAGCAGTTGGCCAAAGCCACCGGCAAAAATAGCAAGCGCAGGCTGGGAGAGAAGCAGAAGTTGCTTTTTGCCCCCATGTCCGACGTTGGTGGTGTCTTAGTCGATAAGGATGCTGTTTATATCGATGTGAAGACCTCGAACTTTGATCGCGGCGATGAATCCGACGATGAGGAGCGTGGCTTGGGAGAGCAGTTGGTCGTTGGTCTTCAAGGAGAGCGCAAGCTTCTGGGAGAGGCAGACAGTGGTGTCCGTTTGTTCCGTGGCGGTGGTGCCATTGGAAAAGCAGATGACGAGGATGAAGCTGTTGGCAGAAAGCACAAGAGGAACGTTCGATTCTTAGATGGCGAACAGGACAATCAGGATGCGGCGGACGATGATGAAGGCTTTGAAAGCGATGAGGGTGAAGAGGACGAGGAGGACGAGGAGGACATGGAGCACGATGAGGAAGAGGACCTGAGCGGCGATGAGGAAGAGGTTGACGCTTCCGCGCCGCCAGATTTCGAGGCCAATTTCAAGGAAAGGCAAAACGGCAATTCTCGCCAGAAAGAGGACGACATCGCTTTTGCCGACAGTGACTCCGACCTTGGTTCCATCTCGTCAGTAGAGGACCAGGTCCTCGATAGCGACGAGGACGACGAAGACGAGGAAGATGACGGTGAAGTCCGTTGGAAGGACAATATGCTTGCCAATGCCAAGGCCCTCCATTCAAAGCGCCCTAAGTACCGTGTCCCTGACTTGTCGCGCATGCTTTACGATGAAACCATCACACCTGCAGATGTGATACGCCGATGGAGTGGCAAGGAGGAGGGCGACGAAGACGACGATGAAGAACCTGAAGAGGACGACGATGCCTTCTTCAGGAAGACAAACGTGGAGGAGGAAGAAGCTGCGGAGTACCGTGCTGTTCCTGAGTACGACTACGCCAAGCTGGAAGCCAAATGGCAAGATGCAGATATGATTGAATCTTTGCGGCAACGCTTCGTCAGCGCCAAACTGTCTGGCGGCGACGATGATGATTCGGATGTCGATGATGCCTTTGATGAGGATGACGAGGGTGACGGAGAGTTTGAAGATTTGGAGACCGGCGAAGCTTTCGACGGGTTTTCTGACGAAGAAGGCGCCGAGGACGGTGAAGCTGCAGATGCCGAAGGTCCCGTCGACTTGGATGCGGAGCGAGAACGTAATGCGAAGAAGAAGGAAGAATTGAGACTGCGCTTTGAGGAAGAAGACCGCGAAGGATTCGCTAACTCCAAGGACAACTCCCGGCAGGCCGGTGGTGGTGGAGAAGAGGAGTTCGGAGAGGACGAGTGGTATGATATGCAGAAGGCCAAGCTCCAGAAGCAGATCGACATCAACCGTGCTGAATTCGATATGCTTGACCCGGCCTCGAGGGCTCGGGCCGAAGGTTTCAAGGCTGGTACTTATGCACGTATTGTGCTCGAGAACGTTCCCTGCGAGTTCGCAACCAAGTTCAACCCCCGCTTCCCCGTGATTGTGGGTGGACTGGCCCCAACTGAAGACAGATTCGGTTATGTGCAGATCCGCATCAAGAGGCATCGTTGGCATAAGAAGATCTTGAAGAGCAACGACCCTCTCATCTTCTCTCTCGGTTGGCGCCGCTTCCAGTCTCTGCCGATATACAGCACTTCAGACAGTCGAACCCGTAACCGCATGCTCAAGTACACTCCCGAACACATGCACTGCTTTGGTACCTTCTATGGACCTCTCGTCGCACCTAACACCGGTTTCTGCTGCCTGCAATCATTCTCGAACAAGACCCCGGGATTCCGCATCGCCGCTACAGGTGTCGTACTGAGCGTCGACGAGCATACGGAGATCGTCAAGAAGCTCAAGCTGACCGGTGTACCCTACAAGATCTTCAAGAACACTGCCTTCATCAAGGACATGTTCAACTCGTCTATTGAGATCGCCAAGTTCGAAGGGGCTTCCATCCGGACTGTATCTGGTATCCGTGGTCAAATCAAGCGTGCTCTCAGCAAGCCCGAGGGTTACTTCCGTGCTACCTTCGAGGACAAGATTCTCATGAGTGATATTGTCTTCCTTCGCGCCTGGTATCCGATCAAGCCTCATCGCTTCTACAACCCTGTCACCAACTTGCTGGATCTGGACGAGGAAAGCGTCGGTGACAACGGCTGGAAGGCAATGCGTCTCACTGGTGAAGTCCGTCGTGAAAAGGGAATCCCTACCCCCATGAACAAGGACTCGGCTTACCACGCCATTGAGCGCCCCGAGCGTCACTTCAACCCTCTTCGTGTGCCACGTCAGCTGGCGGCTGACCTTCCCTTCAAGTCTCAAATTACGAAGATGAAGGGCCGGAAGGACAAGACCTACATGCAGAAGCGTGCTGTGGTCCTGGGCGGTGAAGAGAAGAAGGCACGGGATCTCATGCAGAAGCTTAATACCATGCGCAATGAGAAGCAGGCCAAGCGCGCGGCCAAGCAGGAGGAGCGGCGCCAGGTGTATCGGGCGAAGGTTGCGGAGGGTCTGGAAAAGAAGGCCGAGCGGGAGAAGAGAGAACGGGATGAATACTGGCGCCGAGAAGGTAAGAAGCGCAAGAACCAAGACAGCGAAGGTGGCGGGGGTAAGAAGCGCAAGTAAGGCAACGCTTCCTGCAACGGCATGTTTTTGGGATCTCTACCGGTTGTTAAAAGTTTACTGTGAATATGGTCGATGTGTATCTATCTACATGTTGCATGGGGGATGGCGTTGAATCTTACCCGACTATAATGTCGGACTTCTTATTTCTCTTATTGGATTGTTGTTTTATGTGAATATATTGATGCTCTATACCAGGAATAGACTGAGTTGGTGTTGATTTTTGCATATCTGTGGATGCCTGAAATAGGTGCCTGAACCATGCGGCGGAAGTAACCCCACGTGACCGCGCCGCGCAACGCGTCTCGTCTCGTCGCTCGTTGCTGCGCTGGTCCTGGAAGATCTTCCCCCTGTTGCCCTGCGCCCACCAGCGCAGTGAACGCTAGCTCAGCATTCAATTTGTTTCCCATGTAGGCGGACTCTCGTCTTCATATGGCATCCCTCTTTATCCTTCCATCGCGCCCCTCAAGCCGACCCAGCAGGCATCGGGATTGACGTGCGGAGACCAGCAACGTGCTTTGCTAGTACTTAGTCCCGCCTTGCACGTGTGGATTCCTCGAACGCCATCCCTTGCAGCAAACAGCTTTTCAGGCACCTTGTCTCAGTGGACTTGGTGCTCCTGACAGCTCCGCTCTGGACCTTCCCGTGCCCAACGACGTTGGAAGCGGGCGGTGATCTGCCTCTATTTGACGCTAGACGCCAGGCCGTTTGAGGGCCGTGGTGGTTGTTTACCCTCTGCCTCCTCTGCTGTCGTCGGAGGAATGTGCAAACGCCACACCCGGGCGCTTATTGGGATATCTCAGAAGACCTGCAGTGTCAGGTTTCCGCCGCTCATTTTATCAGTATGAGTGGATCGTCGCGGTTAGACGGACGCCCACATGTGCAGAACCCCCAACCACAATTTGCGTCGCGGAACATTGCAGAAGCTGCCGGACACAACAGCCGCCATCATGGCACCATAGATCATAGAGACAGTCGTGTTGGCGTATCGCCACCTAAACCGGAGCCGTCCATGGCGGTAAACATAACATCAGAGTCACCGTCGGATCAGTCGGCATCTAACACCAATAGACAAATCCCACATTCTTCGCTCTCGACGGTTCTGGCGCCTGTAACGCAAGGAAGGCACTCTGAATCGAAAACGCAAGAGAAAATGGGCCACCTCCAACCCTTGTCAGAACCCGCGGGGACGATTATACACGCATCCACTGTTGGGGAACAGACTATGTCTGAGCCATTGGCGTCCACTATTCGGAAGAGCCATAGTCCATCCATGACAGCACCTGGGGGCCCATCCAAATATAACGCCCCACCAAAAAGGACTGCGGCTGGAATTTCCAAACACCTTGTCGATGCCCCAGGAGCGGACAACACTTCCGAAGTAGACAGCCCCGATCGACGCCGCTCCCATAGTATTGGCTCCCTATCGCGTGAGAGCAGGATTGCAGCGGTAAGGCTCGTCCCTTACATCAGTTTCTGGGGCCATGTATGTGAAATTCTGATTTCAAATTAGTTGTCCGTCCACCTTCGAACGCGGTTATCGTATGCTGCCGCCAAAGTTGAGAAGAGTAGGAAACTCCATGGCGTCCAGGCTCATTCCCTATCGCCTAGTACAGAATCTCTCGCTAAAGCTGGGCTTTTGCCCGCCTTCAGCGAGTTAGAGGCTCAGCGTTCTGTAGAAAATAGCTCACCAGACGGAACCATTATGTCTGCGCCGGATCCGCCTTCAACAACCAGCGTCTACACTCCGAGCGGCCCTGGGCGGCTATCTCCTGTGGCCCAGTCCGCCGATGCGTCGCCATCCTCCTTACACCTCGACTTGCCAAAATCTCATCCCCGTCCAAAACTCGCACCCCCTGCAGACATTGCAAGTGGAAGCCGCAGTCGCCGTCGACGTCCCAACCCCAACGAGGCGTTGCACCTGCCGAAGTTTCCTGCCTCGCTGCATCGCAGACATCATTCTCACCAAGAGGTCGGTGCGTCCGGGCCAGCTGCGAGTTCAGAAAAGGTTCAGGTCCCTGGGACTCCTCCTCTTGGCCCAATGCGTCAGGCTTCCTATAACGGTACAGGGGGTCATCAAAACCATAATCGAAATAGCGCTATGGAACAGGACGCTATTGAAACCCTGCTTTTCATGTCCAGCCCTGGACATTCGGGTTATCACTCCGGCTCCCAGCATTCCCAACGTCAGCGAAACATTTTCCAGAGCAGCAGCGATTCTAGAAGCTCTGGCGGCCGGGTGCCCCGTAGTCAGGACTCACAAGTCAGTAATTCCCGTGGTCAGCCTATGCCAGCCTCAAGTGGTCGAGTGATCGGTCTTGAATCGCACGCTGGGGACGAGATCGACCGGATGCTGGATCAAATGGACAGTGATAGCGATGACGAAGTCAAGTTTGCTTCGACACAGTCCAGCTTTACGGACCATGGCTCAAAGCAAGCTGACAGCTCTCAGGAGCAATACCGACGAGGTAGATGAGGAAGCATTCGGGCACAACCTGTGGCCTTCGGGCCTGTCGTCTGTCTAAGTTCCCATGGACGGCGAAAGATGCTTTCAGAGATCTGACAAGCCATGGACAACATTTGCCCTGGTCTGCATCTACTCTTTGGTTCCAACGACTTGAAGAATCGCTATGGGAGCGGGACCAATTCGAGATAGGTATCCGATCCAAGCCAGCTCTGCATTGCTCTTCCTCCCCTTGCGATTGGTATATCCTCAGACGAAAGGAACGCTACATTATGTTTCCACGGTCCACCAGTGCCATTCCCTGCTCCACACAGGTCATTGTTCGGTCATGCCCGGATGAGCTCGCGTATGTGCCTTCTTTTCTATAACTGCCACAAGGGCTTCGCGAATTACGTAGATTTCCCGTGCGCATCGATTCTTATGCCCGCCAACTTGCGCCCGAAAACAATCTGCGCTTTTCCAAGCCCAATCTTTCACCAAGTCAAAGGAAATGGATGAGGCAATGCCTTCCGCATCCCCATCATCTCCTTTTGAGGCTGGCATCTATCTTCCTGGGGGCCATAACACCGACCCGCCTATGACATCCGATACGGACGGCTATCGATTGAATCACTTTATGCTCCGCATCAGGGATCCTCAGCGCACTCTGCATTTCTATATTGACCTCATGGGCATGCGCACTATTTTCACCATGAACGCCGGTCCGTTCACCATGTACTACCTTGGCTACCCATCCACCCCCAGCGACCGCGCCGATCTTTCTGCCTGGGCCTCCCGAGTCGCCAACGTCCGCGAACTTACCCAGACCATTGGGCTGCTGGAGTTTTACCATATTCATGGGACTGAAAAGGACGAAGAGTTTAGACTCTCTTCCGGGAACTCGCCTCCTAACTTGGGTTTTGGCCATCTAGGATTCACTGTCCCGGACGTCCCCGCGGCTGTCGAGCGACTGAGGCGGGAAGGGGTACACGTGCTGAAAGATCTTGGGGATAGTTCGAGGGAGAGTGTTCCTCTCAGTACTTGGGAGGAGCATCGCGGCTTCGGGACGGGGGATGTACATCCAAAGTTCAAGGATATTTACGATCAGATTGCGTGTGTGGCTGATCCGGTAGGCTGACCTGAAACTATGAGTCACAGTACCTTACTCATTGACTGTTGCTTAGGATGGATACATTGTCGAACTTGTTCCGCAGAACATGCAGGATCAATGGGCCCAGTCTAGTTAACTCCAATTGGAAGTCAACCATGTGACCTGTGACTGTTGTAGCAACCCCAAAGAGTAACTATCTAACTCACTCCATTCAAGAATAACGGTCAGCCCTGAAATCCAAGCCACAAATTCCATTCCACCACAACTACAAACTCCGCGGGACTTTCTACCGCGTCCCCCTAACAACAGTCGTAATCCAATAGCACGTTTCTTTACAGCTCATAATGATATCCTCTAGTATGTAGAACGAATATGGGACTCTCTATTCATCGAGCAATCAATCTCTGCAAGGCAAGTCAAACTCAGACTTACCAATACTGTCTGCTCGTTCGGACTAGCACTGTTGCAAATACACCAACTACTAGAGTAACCTCCATCATCTTTAGGAAGCATCATCGCTGATACTACCAGTATTACTACTTCAAGACTACTTGCTCCCCTCATTCAGCTAGGGCTAAACAAGCCATACACGCCCCCCTTTCTCCCCTTCATCAACACATGACAACCTAACCAACAACTACCATAGTTTATTCTTTTCCACTCAATGCCAGATTCAGTGCCCCACGACTCGACCCAGATCAACACCTCCGTGTAGGCTCGCTCGTCACAGTAATGCACCAAATCTCTACAAAACAGCATCGCTTATTACATTTACAAGTAGATAGATAGATAGATACACTAGTAAATCACTACTAGTCTACTTAGTGGCTTCTACGTTCTTCTCATATCTGCCCCTTCCGTTCCTATTCCCGCATATTTACTGCGGGAGTCCCTTGCAGTACTCCTGCAGTATAGTAGTAGTACAAGTGTATAGCTGAGGAAAACATATAGACGATAAGTACAACTAGTAGTGATTTCTATTCCGTGAATGTATAGGAGTAGTAGTAACTTTCTCACTCTCTCACTCTCTTTCTCTTCCTCTCTCATAACTAACTAACCACCTTTCAACTATACAGTGCTCATTCGTTAAGCTAGGATTGTCAGTAACATCGATTCTGCTTTGAAGCAGATCTTAATACTTAGCTGATTCCTATTATGGTCTGGCATTCTCGTAGTTCAGTATATGGCATTCCACCATCAAATACGGAATGAAGTGTAGGCATGTCCTCCCCTTCCCTTTCTTGGTGATCGTAGTGAGCAGAACGGTAGATTTAGATGATCAGATAGAGGAGAGGAAAACAGTATATAAGTATTATCGTCTTAAAGATGTAGCTTTCGGTCTTGCAGGTTTTTCTCACAGCTCATCTACAGTATCTAGTCACAATGGTTTTCCTTGCCCGAATCTCGCTGCTTCTTGTCCCGTTACTTGGGACTTTGTCTCATGCAATTCAGGTAAGGAGATGCATTCATTAAGTTATATAACCTACCATTATATGTATAAGCCTATACATATTATAAGGTGACAGAGAAAGAGAAGAGGAGAGAACTTACACTAATACCACCACTTCCACAGGCCGAAGACTATCCCTCAACCTGCATCGATGCCTGCGACGGCATAACTCCTGACCCAAACAACGCAACCGAAGCCAGCTTTTACTGCGACTACTGTATCTGCAACAACAAATTGCTAGGATGGTCCAATTTCCAACCACCCGAGAACTTCACCGACATGTTCGCCGACTGGGTTCCGTTGGGCGGCCTCTGTCCGAAAGATTGGCTCTGCACCTGGGCGAACTGGACCGACAATGGATTCAATGCCAATTATAGTAAATTGGTCTACGCTCCCAACAACGGCTTCAATGGCTGTCCCATAACTGTGACTCTGGAGGTTGGCACCTTGGTGGATCGCTTTGGCACGGAAAATGGCAGTTATCTCGCCCCAGCGGGCACAACGTACGGTGAGCGGTCTATCGGGCCAAGCAGTCTGAACAAGTATTCTGGTAGTACCCAGTACAACTACTGGAGATTCAATGTGACGCAGGAGTTTGAGGCGCAGGGTGGGTTGATTCTGCCATGGGATAGCCAGCCTGGAGGTGGCTGGCAGTGGTATGTGAAAGGGGGTTTGGGCCCGTTGCAGGATGCCGGTAAGCTGAAGTTGGTCGGGGCAGATACTTTTGGGGTTAATGAGGCTTGGGAGGCTGCTGAGCCGATGGAGAGAGTTTATGCGCTTCAGGACCAGTAGATGATATTCTGAAGAGGGAGATTCGTGCTGCACGGGCTTGTTCCTTGTCTTTTGGTAGGGGGTGGGGTGTGTCTAATGTTAGTGGGTGTTGAAGGACTGAGGTAGATGCTGTTAGGTAGAACAACTTCTATTCGTGGAGTTAGTTAATATATTATAGTGGCTGATGGAATCGCGCACGTTTCATGTAATGTGGAGGTTGTAGTGTGAGACATAATCTCGTAGTATCACCGCGCCAACTTTCCAGTCGCTTCATATACTAGTATATATAGCAGCAGTCTCAGGCATGGGATTAAGTACAATACTATCGAAGACGAACTCTGACTTGGATTAGATATATCGGACCCTTTCAAATGCCATCCATCAGAGCTTACCGATGCCGATACTCTTCGTGAACTGGCAGATGACTTGAAACACACCAGATAACCCCCTCTGACTCTGACTTAGAGGAGTGAATGATTGTAGTTTGGAACCTACCTCTTTTCCCTTTTGTTTCTGGTGGAGTGGGGCTGAATTCTAGAGAGGTGCGGCGACGATCTCCTACAACGGCATAACACCCAATCCTTATGCTAAGTATCAAGATGTAGTAGTTTTATATATCTGCATCAGACATGTCAACAGCAGTTCAATAAAGCATCATCACCCATCAGTTACATTTGCAGTCACACATAACTATCGTACAAGCCTAAAGGCGGAGAAAAGGAGCCAGGCACATACATACATATACATACCCAGCATAGTCTATCCACATCGAAGCGAATAGGGATCAAAGAAGAAGCACTGACGACTACTTTATGCAACAGGACAAGAAAGAAACCATTTTCCCATCCTCAGAAGACGCCATAAATATGAAGAAAGTGCAGACGTATCTATCTATCAATCCACCCATCCATCATCCATCCATCCCATCATGAGCATAAATTTTACACTCGAAAGCAGGCAGATCATAATCTACTCCACTCCCCAACTGTCATCCACCTCCGCCACATCGTAGTCCACATCATGCGGACCGTCCTTCCGTGCCCCGGTCTGCTCCGGCACCATGGATGGCCCCGTCCCGTTGTCCATCACCGTATCCTCGTCTGACCCTGTCTTGTTGGTGTCCGAGCCAGGGCCGGAGTTTGCGCCGCTAGCTGGAAGAGCGATCGGGGGGTTGGGGACCCAGGTGAGCTGGACTTGGCCTACCGAGGGGATGTCTCGGGGTCCAAACATGAACTTTTCGGCCAGGTAGCGTTCCTTGAAGGCCACGATGACTGAGTCGGGTTGGTCTGGGTTGGGCTCGATGGATTCGTATTCGCCGACGCCCTGGTATACTGGGTTAGCTTTCGAAGAAGGCGTAAACAGGGTAAGACTAAAGTGGGAAACTTACAATGAGGAATTGTCTCAAGGCCTCGTCCTTTTCGGAGTTGACCTCTACACCAGAGACAGCCACCCTACGGGGTCGGTTGTCGAGACGTAGAACACCACCTCTGCCGCGAGCAGCGCCACCGCGACCACGATATCCACCACGGAAGGACGGGTCGTAACCACGGCCTCGGGGCGGGAATCCACCACGGGCACCGAATCCTCTCCCGCGGCCGCGGTAGGAGTACGGTGCGCTTGCACCACCGTTGGGGTCAATTCCAAGACTCTTCGCTTCAGCTTCAAGAGCGGCCAGCTGCGCACGAAGCTGTTGGGTCTGGTCACTGGCATTCTCCTGTGACACAGCCGCTTCGTCAGCCGGAGAGGCGCTGCCGTCACTGCCTTCTTTTCCACCAAGCTTTTGCATCAGACGAAGTTTCTCTTCCTGTTGCTTCTTCAGAAGCTCATCGCGCTGTCGCTCGAGGGCTTGTTTTGCTTCCTCAGTCTCCTTGCGCTTCTTTAACTTCTCCTCATGCGCCCGCTGGGCTTCCTCTTGCTGTCTCTCAAACTCTTCCCGGTTGAAGGCCGGGCCCTCGTTCATGGCGTCGCCAGCGGGAGACCGATGGTCACCATTCCGATCACCCTTGGGCTTATGCCAGTAGACTTTGACGAATCGGTTATCAAAGATCACCTTGGGACTAGACCACGCCCGCTTAGCAGCTGCGTGGCTATCGTAGGTAATCAATGCCAGTCGCCGGTGTGGTTGGAGGGAGACCTCAGTGATCTCGCCATATTGTGAAAAGAACTCTCGGATCGAGGCTTCATCCATCTTATCATCAGGGATCTGCTCAACGACAATGGTTGTGATCGTCGTATCCTCGTTAGGCCCAGCAGAAGAGAATTCAGAGCGGCGTCCCCTGCCTCCAAAACCACCTCGGTCCCCACCACGGCCGCGGCCACGACCTCTGTCGCTGCCTCGCATAGGTGTATCCGTGCGCCTTTGGAAGTCGGTAATGAGATTGGAGGATTTGGGATCGTATTCTAGAACAATCCATCATTAGCAGGGGTCATCTAGCCACCAACGCCTGTGATGATTTACTCACCATCTTCCTTGGAGGACCCTGGCATGGCATCGTGCTGATACGGACATGTAGCGCCAAGGTAGCAGATACCCTGGGTCTCATAGAACGGACACCGCTCCGAACTCTTGGGTCCCATCTTGTCCGGTTGCTGGCCGGCACCGGCACCCGGGGGTGGCATCGGCATCGGAGGCATACCCGGCATCTGAGGGAAACCCATGCTCTGTAGAGCCATCATCGCCGCCATCGGATCATTCTGGTCAAAGCCGGGGAACGCAGGAGGCATGACCGGGAATCCCGCTGCACCAGGATGGAATTGTCCCGGACCAGCCGGTCCTGCACGGCCGCCGTCCCTACCCATCCAATCTCCACGACCACCGCCGCGTCCCCGGCGAGGGGTCTTGTATGTGCGATGGTGGGGTCCGTCGTCGCGCTCCTGATCCGCCTGGAATCCTTCGTGGTAGTTACGCTTGCGATTGAAGTTGGAGCCATCAGCTTGCGACTGTGGGATGCCGTATGGACCATTTGCTGGACCGGAGGGAGCTCCAAAGGTCTGTTGCTGTTCCGAAGCTGATCCTGCAGCACCATCATGGGACATTGCGGCGGGTTGGACGGGCTGCGGCTTGGGCGCAAATGTTGTGAAGAGTTCGTCGACAAACTGAACAGTGTCTATATATGCAAGAAAAGCCAGTGAGCTAACTGCGCCTTCTCTGCGCAAGCAAGTACCTCAACATGACTAACGTTCTCTCAGGAAGTCTTCCAGATTATCCACCGAAGCCTTCCGGATCTCCTCGTCCGGGGCATCTGTTCGGATAAGCGCCAGGACATAATCGGCAAGTACATCAGAGTCGGCATCCGATCTGAACCGGAGAGTTATTCGTTAGCTTGTGATACAGCGCAGGGAACGTCTCCAGAGGAACAGTCGCCGGCCACATGAGCCTTACATATCTTCCAGTTTCCTGACTACCCATTTCTTCACTTCCGTCGCTTGATCCTCGGTGAGCTGCATGTTGCCGCGCAAGGTCGAAACCGTGCCAGGCGACTGTTGCCGGAAAGGATTAGTTCCTTGAGGAGCTTGAAGATGCAGCAGGCGTTACTTGGCGGCGTCCGAAAAAAGATTGGGCCAGGGATCAAAAACAGCGTCGAGGATGCGGCCGATGACTTTAGTGACAGGAGGAAAGTTTGTCGGTGAGTTTGATCAGAGACTTGCGCAAATCATCGTGTGATGAAGAAAAGACGTGCGAAGAGATAGCAACAGAGCTTTGCGGACCAAAAAAGCCGGGGAAACGCGAGCGACGCGGATGACAGTTTCGCCACGTGACCTACGCTGGCCGAGCTGCCCAGTTGCCCTACCACATCACGTCACCACCGGTGCTACTCTTTCTCTTATCGTATCTACAAGCCAACTACGAGGCTGAGAGTGACAAAACACTGAAATGAACTTGAAAACCATCATATTTTTTTCATGTCCAATCGAGGGAATAGGAAAGGAGCTATGGAAAATCCCTCGCGGTCGTTAACGTAAAAATAAAGCCATCGCATATGCTCGTGCACAGCTCGATTCTACTTCTCTAAGCGGTCGAAAATCCACATACGACATTAAGCTGTTTTTTCTTTTATATCCTCCCCCTCAATGTAGACAGGGTATTGCATTCGTCAATCTCATAAACAGAGGATTCCATCCATCACAAGGTCGAAGTTTAGTCGGCTTGTATGGAAGGTTTTTACAGCTTGTCGTAGTACTGTTCACACATGTTAGCTTCAGATACTCTTTAATACAGCATCGAATATGGGTTTCAACTTACGTTCTCGTAGCCAGGAACCTGCTCCTTGAGACCCTTGCGCTTACGCATCTCAGCAACGATCTGACCAGGCTTGCTGGTGGTGTCAAGAGGAGATCCACCAGGAAGGACGGCCCAGTGGTCGAAGACAGACTGGGGGAAGGCCTGTCCACCGGTGGCCTGACGAAGCTCGCCGGGGAAACCGAAGGACTCGTTGACGGGCAGGTAGGCCTTGACGTTGAAGAGAGGAGTACCAGGGCGCTGCTCCTCGGTGTAGACGTGACCACGACGACGGGTAAGGACACCGTAGATACCACCCATGGCCTGCTCGGGGACCTGGATCTCGACGTTGAAGATGGGCTCCAGGATGCCGGGGTCGGCAAGCATGGTAGCAGCATACAGGACACGACGAGCAGTGGGGATGATCTGACCACCACCACGGTGAATAGCATCAGCGTGCAGAGTAACATCAAGGATGTTGAAGCGGATAGAGCGCATGGGCTCCTCAGCAATAGGACCCTCACGAGTAGCCCACTGGAAACCAGAGACGAAGGAATCCTTGATTTCGTTGAGGTACTGGACGGCCTTGGTCTGGTCAACCAGCAAGTTGGCACCGGTGGTGTCGGGACCGAAGCACCAAATCTTACGGGCATCGGTGACATCCCAGCCGTACTCGTCAGCAAGGAGACGGGCACGAGCCTTGAAATCGTCACGGGGGGTGATCTTGCCAGCCTCAATGGCCAGGGAGACCTCCTCGTCAAGGGGCTGGGCAGTGAGGTACAGACGGTTGTGCTTGTTGGGG